TATATATATAGCGCACTCGTGTCGTACATGGCCTCACGCCGAGCGGTAAATAAGAACTGCTCGGTCCAAACCAATCCTCATTATATCTCTGTGCTTAAGGTAACGGCTGAAGAAACCGCGTACATATTATGTACATATATACTGTATACTGCCCCCAACCCGACCCGTAAAATCAGACCCGTGTTTCCGACGTTTGCGCAAACTGAAACTAGTGAAACAGCACGTTTCAATGCAGCACGGGTGAAGGGGCAGAAAGGTACAAACACAGTGGATCGGCCTTTCTTCACACTTTTTCGCCAACTAAAAAAGAATGAGAGGCTCTCCTTGACAAGATTGGACTTTACGTTAAAAAAAAATTTTTATTCTAAAATGATGCCAGACAACACCCAACAATACCATTATGTACACAGTGGGAACGAGCGAAGCGAATGAAATTTAAGGGCAGACCTTGGTTGACCGCAGTCAGTATGGGAAGCGACAGGGACGAAAGGCGAACCCAGTGTGGCGTGTGCAACACTGTTGTTGATTAAAAACAACATTCGCCACAACTAAAAATAAAAAGTAGGAGAGGCGGATACCCCCCAAAAAGGTGCAGAAGGCGAATCCACTGTGTTTGCACGGTTTAGGCCTAGAATCTATACATGTACCGCACCTACACAAATCTGTCTTTACACAGACTAAAGCCTGTGTTCAGGGGGTTGTGAACAATGGAGTAATACAAACCCCACCGCACTACTTAGACACAACATTTTAGTCGTGAACAGATGTGACCGGCCACAAACCGAGTACTGGTACAAGTACAAGTCTGACTAAAGACTGGTTTGAGTTTGAGTTGAGCCAATAAAGAAAATAGAGCAGTCTACCGCACCAAGATAAAACTGCCCAGAAATTTGACGACACGCCGAGTTCCATACACAAGTGTTTTGATGACATGCCGATTTCCTTTCATCAACACTCACATATGCATCTGATCGTTTTGACGCACATCGAGCAAGGACAATCAGCAAATATTTTTTTTTTAATTTATCATGGATGTTGAGGTCAATTAGACTGAAAAAATTAATAAGAGCAGTTCCGTTGAAGGCAAACCTTTACGGTACGATAAAGCTTTGAGAGATTATTCTAACACTAACAGAGATTTAAAAGTAAAATCCAAAATCGTTTGGGTTTTTTTTTTCTTTCTTTCGTCCGATTGAAAACATTAGAGCACATACACATGCTATCTCTGTCACTTCCACTTCCATCATGTTCAAAATGTGTCGTTAATATCAGTCTTAAAACGTTTGAGTCTTACTCTTTCTCTTAGTGCGGTATGGCTCAAGAGGAAACGTTAAATTCTGCGACAAAACGGTCTAAATAAAGACAGATTTGTTTAGGTGCGGTATAGGCCTTACAAAGTTACATTGTGTGTTTGTGAGAGATCGAAAGAAGAGCCCTGTTGCTTTCACACAAAGAATGCTGGGCTGCGTGGGTGGACTGTTTTGAAGCCTCCCCAACGATTAAGAAAAATGGAATCACCAGAAATTGCTACAGTGGAATCCTGTTATAACGAGAGGGAGGGGACCGGTGCGAAATGTCCGTTATAGCAGGATTCTCGTTACAAGGGATCCAGTAATAAATTCAAGGGAAATAGTAAAGTAGGCCTAATCTATGAGTTTGGCGTTCTGTTTATTCCTTTTTGTATTTCCCCTGATGATGATTTTGTTCATCATGATCTCTAGGTCTTACTTGATCAAAAATCGAATCAGGTTTCTTTCTCTAGCACTAGCAATGTTGACAAATCGGCCTTGGCGATCTGAAAGAAGGGGCTCTGGCTCTATGCAGCGTTGTCCCCCACCCCACCGCACACTGTGGTGCGTTGCGTCTGCTCACGCACGTCACACATTCACTCCATCCATCTATCACAGCATTGTGACCTCTCCATCCCGCACCAGAGAAGTGAGAGGCACGGTATGTCTAGATTTAATCTAGACTGCTGGCCTATCATGCGATGCGTTCTGCTTGTGTCTGCACTTGCCACACCCTCCCCACTCATTCGGTCCGGCCTTCATTGTTGGTTCGCGTGGGCTCTCCCACTCTTTGTTTCGCTGGATCACCGACAACTTTCTCAACTGGCAAGGTTTTATAATAATGTTTAATTGGTCTGTGCGCTGTGCACAGCAGCAGCAATATTCCGTTATAAACGACTCGCGTGACGGTCTGATTGCGCAATAGCAGTATTTTATTTACAAAGATAAAGAAGGAGAAAAAACGGGGTTTTAGAATAGTGTCTGTATAACAGACTTCTCGTTGTTTCAGGACTCGTTATAAGTGGACTCCACTGTATTTTTTCAAAAGAAAACTTTCGCATCGACTCAATTGAAGCCAATCTTTTCCAACATTGATGACAATAAGAAATTATCTGTGTTGTCCTAGTTCAACACACGCGGAGTCGACTTATTTAGTCGATAGGGCGTACATGTAGTTCCTTTGTGTTTCTTCCGGCCATTTTGAAATCCCATTCCAATACGGTAATCAATTATTTACATGTAAAAAAAATTTCCAAAAGCTTCAGAGCACTTTCGATCAGCACTAATCTGGAGCAAATAGGCGACAAACATTAGTTAAAAACAAGCAGAACTTGCAGAGGCATGTGTAGGAAAGTGATTATCAAGCAGCTCCCGAGTAGGTGCCATTGGTCATGTGTGCCTCTAGCGCCCAATCCGCTGATGATACAGCTGTGTAAATTTACATTAGTCCAGTTCGATACATAAAATATCAATTTTCAGTGCTCTGTCACGTAGGGCCTTCTTGTATTTTTACAGGAAGGAGGGTCTCCACATAAACAGAGACAGGCTGGGAGAGAACGTGTCTTTGCTGAGCTTTTTGCGAGTCCAAATTTCTTACATGCCTTTGAAAACAGATCAAGTTTTGCATGCCTGATTTACAGCATATTAGCAACAATCAAAGCAATAGAAACGCGGTCGGTTCAAAGTAAATGGAAAAAGGGCAAAAACCACATTTTTTTAAAACCCACAATGTGCATCCTCATTGGTCAGGGCTTGAGTATAGCTTATCAGGGCATCAGGAAAACAAATCATTTATAACTGGAATATAAGAAAGACAGGCACAAACTAAAGAGAGATAGTAAAAAGTAGGACCTCCCGATAGCGCCCTCCAACTTCCCACTCTTGTTAGTCATAGTGTGACATTCCATTATCAGAAACAAAGCATGTCTTACTCTTTTGAAGGAATAGATGCCACACAGCCAAGGTTGGCTCAGACAGGAAGATGAAGGCAGCCCTTCTACTAAATAATCTAAATTGTGTCAAATGGGGCATAGAAAATAAAGACAGGAAGGAAAAGGAGACTACAAAAATGCAGTTTGTCCACAACTGAATCACACAACTTGTGACATTGTTCTTAGTTTTAGTATTTGCAAAAGTTTTACGGCGTTTGCAACTGCATAAGGTCATATGAGCGCCAGAAGATTAGAAGTGTTACAAGAGAGTAACAAACATAAAAAAGAAAGAGGGGAGATAAGGAGGATATATGTTTGATAGGACAGAAGAAGCAAACCACACCAGAGCACCCGCTGACATTGTTCTCATTGAAGGGAAGTGGAAAAGGCTTTTGTTAGATTTCACTCACAAATTAGTAACGTGTGTACATGTAGTACATAATTAAAATTATGTCCAAACTAGTAGGAAGGTTGTTAAAACAAAATCTCAACAAATAAAAGTACTGCACCACCACACAATGGGAACACAAGACAAAAGTGCAGAGCGCATAATTCAGTATCAAACCCAACAAGGTGTTACTTGTAAATGAATAACACTGCTCTGCAGAGAGGATAAAAAACAAACAAACAGGGTTACAGAACACAAGGGCAAGCCAAGGGGCACAAGAGAGAGTAAGTCGAAACACTTTATTCTCAATTCACAATACCAAACAAATCAATCAATCATTCGCTTCCATGCAAAAGAAATAAACTGGATTAACAACATGAAATGAACTATTCTAACTTTAGCATTTCACTCAATAGTAACGTTTCAATAACAACAAGGGAGGACAAAAACTATGTCCTAAAATTTTCCCTCCCACTGAGGGTCATTATCCTGTCTGCATGTGCTTTGAGATGGAGGGGTCTTAAGAAAACGGTCACAGCTTCTGCCTGAAGCCAACGGTAATCAGTAACCAGAATTATCATAAACAGAAAGTGAAAGAATTTCAAACAACTTTATATAACTATTGGCTGACTGCCAAAACTGGAATCCAAAAATCATTATAAACAAAATTCAAAAGCACACAGATTTCCAATCTGCATTCAAATCTTTAAATCTGTAACAAACAAGAATACAACTTTCAAGTGTAAAACCAGATCCAAAGGAAATTAACTAGCAAACTTAACAGTATCAAAAGTGCCATGCAACTTCTACAGTCTCACAAAACAATATCAATGCAGGAAAAAAACAAAACAAAAAAAACCCAAACAAAAATACCATTATTTCAAACATTCCCCAAATAACAAACAGGCCACCCTGTTTTCACTTAGCCACAAAACAAATGATTAGTTTGGATGAAAACCCACACTGAAAAATGCAGTGCAGAGCAGACACCGTTGACGATGGCTGTGTATACACAGGCACCAACATGCAGATAGAACACACGCGCACAACAATCTTACTCGTAAACACACACGCACGCACATGCAGTAAGCATGTCATCATAGTCCAATATCAAGCGGTCCTCCAAATACTGGAACAATCTGTGCTGAAAGTCCATTGCGTTCCCCTATCGACCTCTCCACAAGTGCCCAATCTCCCCCACCTCTCTCTCATCTCTCCCACGCTGGTGGCCAGAGTACAGCCAAGACCTATGCTGTAGAATGGCAGTACGAGACCACACAGACCCAGATTCACACCGGAGACAAGAAGATCCTGAAGATTCTGTAGTATAATTTTGAAGGTCGTCTCAGCTGTGAATTAGGCATCATTCATAACACTCCTTGCCAAGGGCACCCCAGGAAGCCATAAAATTTTACGTCACATTTCTGGTGTAATGCTCTCACCATGTATGTCCACTTACAGCAAGGACATATGGACGAAGCAATGAACCGACCACATTTTTCAGCCAACAAGCTTTCATTATATTCCACAGTTTTGTCTGTCTTCCCAATCGTCCATCACTCTTCAAACGGTAATACAAACACTTGCAACCCAATCAAATAACATGAATACATCGGAGGTCATTTTTCTCCATCATTCAACTTCACCCGTACATAGCACGCTTCAAGAAAAAATATCACATTCAGATGAGGATGCAACGAATTCGCTCATTTTCCACAAACAAAATTCTTAGAAAATAGAACCAACTACGAACACACAGGTTTTATTTGAATAAACTAAAGACCATCAGTACAAGACATTAAGAGGATACTTGTAGAATAAACTCTTTTGATTTATCTCTAAAACCTCAAAACCCTATACATAAAAAAATGCGCAGACAGCATCTGCTTTTAAACAGAAGCATTCAAAAACAACTTTCTATCAAAGAAGTAATTTTTTGTTCTTAACAATATAGAGGCAATAAAATAGTGGGGAGCATACTACTATTCAATGAATGAGTTTCATCAAAACAAACTGTAACGATAAAGCGAGATTTGAGTCATGGGTCAAATTTTCAGCCGGCTCTTGAAAATATTGTACAGCAAACATCTACCTCTGAAGTGCTTACACTTGTGACTTCAGAATAGTTTCTACATGGGGGGTGGGGGGAAATGAAAAATTAGCATCCTTCTATTTTCCTCAACAAATAACAAATTGAGAACTTGAGTGGCAGGCAGTCACAGGGTCGAACAACCCTTATTACCTATCCCATTTTTTATACAGAATTTGTGGCATGGGAACTACAAACACAACGATGCACCAATTGGATCATCTGAGATAGAGCATACAAGGCAAAATGTTCTATAGTAAGAGGGGGAAAAAATTAATGAAAAATTGAATTCAGATTGTAAAATGAAAAACAAAACAAAACCAAACTCCCTTTGAACCTTGGGAGACTACATCTGACTTTTTGTCCCATGATCAAAAGTCAACCTTACTGTTTGACAGGAACGACAAAGTTGAGTATATTATTAGTTTCCACCTTGGACTTGCAATCATGACAGCATGACTCCAAAATTCTCACCACCCAAAGAGAGAGAGAGAGAGAGATTTGGCTTATGTCCAAAGGAAAAACAAAATTCAAATAAACTTAAAGTGAGCATTGGACAAAAACATTCCAATCAAAACCAAGTAAAAACCCAACAAAACACGAGTAGAAAAAAATGCCCTCAAAACTTATCTTATCAAAAATTGGAACCTGGCAAGGAATCGCCAAAAAAAAAGAAAAAAAAAAAAGAAAGAGCACTAAGAAAAACAAAAATCCCACCAGAACAGTGCTAACCCCAAGGAGTGTGGAGAGTCCAACTTGGACAAATATCTCCACATGGGTCTGCACGTTAAAAATTAAAACAAACAAACAAACAAACAAAAAAAAAAAGGTGAAAAGAATATTAACAAAGAGGGAAAGTCGAGGGGCTTTTTGAAAAACAAGCAGAAAGAAAAGTCGAGCAAAAGACTAGAGGAAAGAGAAAAAGTAATTATGAGTGTTTCATGGGAGTAGAGGAGATGGGGAGGGAGGGAGAGGGAGAGAGAGAGAGAGAGAGAGAGAGAGAGAGAGAGAGAGAGAGAGAGAGAGAGAGAGAGAGAGAGAGAGAGAGAGAAAACCAATGTAGAAGCCCACAGTAAAAAAAAATAATAATAATAATAATTTTTTAAGAAGAAAAATGGTGTAGAAGGACTAAAGAGTTCACAACAGTCCATCATATAATATGTTCTTTTGGCCTAATCATATCGTATCTATACACACTGGCAGATGTAGTGTACGAGACAAAGCTCTGAGTATATTACATTCAGTCTCGTACATAGTGCTGTCTGCCATAGTCATAGACAGGAAATGATGCAGCACTGGGTTACTTGGAGAAATCTTTTTTCATTCCCGATCCAGATCTTGCCAGCACATCCTTCTTCACCTGAGGACTAAGAAGAAAAACATTACTGCAGCAGATGTTACTCATCCCAGCACTAGTCACACAGTACAGGATTAGTTAAACAGTTTTAGTGAGAATTTAGCAGCACTTGCCAACAAGGTTAAACAAGAGTGGAAGATTATAAGTGTTACTGATACTGGAGTGTAACATACAAACAATAAGGACAATAGATGTATGATAGGTTAGAAGAGCAAACTTAACACAAGAGCACCTAACAACCACCCACAAGTAGTAAGAGTTTAGTGGCATTTGCAACACAAATAGGATATACGAGTGTCAAAGAGTGTCTGATCTCGACCTCAGCAAAGCCCAATTTCCGACCCAAAGCGCAATGGCAATGGGCAATTAGCATGGCTAAATGAGCGCATACTAAAAGTGTTTTATGGAATATCAAATGTATACAAACTTTTTTTGACATTAAGGTCAATTCATTGCACAAAAAATGTCACTGTAGTGATGGCATTAAAAGGTGAAATCATTAAAAAAAACACTCATTACTTTTTCTTGTTTATGCCGTTACATGCCACCAAGAAAGCAGGGCTCACCAAAAGCCCAGCTTTGTGCTGCTGTTCAAAGATTCACTTCTCATGAAATAACTTAAAAAACTAAAGATGCAATCCTCATCAAATAAACAAGATAGCACACCACAACGACAAAAACTGGGGTACACAGCGGATAATCAATTATCTAATCATGTTCATTTGACTGTATAGGAGTTTTTGTTTTATTTTATGCTTTTAAAAAATTTTAAATCCAAATGAGAGAGACATCCAATATGCATACGGAACATGATAGGTGGAGATCATGAGGCAAGGCTGCCAACCCATCTCCATGGTTTTTAGTAATGACCATGAAGAAAATTAGTAATTTCCCATAAAAATTAGTAATAGTGCTCTCATTTTAAAATTACTATTTTACAACGAACAAAAATATGTCTTAATTACCTGGCCGATCGATAAAATCTATTTTTAGACTGCTTGGGTCTCAGCAGCGTGGCAGCCATACTTCTACTTGTGTACGATTTTATTGAGAGCAAGGCTAACTCGCACGAAGTGGGCCAGCTGTTCCTTTTTTAGGGAGGGGCGGGGATTGATTTAGAGGCGGTTTTCCAACTATAGGCGGACGATTTACAAGACTGCAGTAAGACTTCTAAAATTTAAAAAAAGAGCCAAAAACGTTTTTTAATTGGCCAAAAATCGTAATAAATCGCCTTACCATCGGAATTTCGTAGTGAGGCTACAAAATTGTAATGATTACGAAAAAATCGATCGGAATGGTTGGCAGCCCTGCGATGGTGACAATACCTTCTGACTATGACTTGTAAGCCCTTCAATAAGTTTCAACATTAATCTACAGCTACCCACCCAGCAGCATGCTTTAGTAATCATCAAATAAAAACAAAAACAGCCCGGCAAAAAAAATGAAATAAGACCAGGGATAGTCTTGTTCCCTGGGGCGTCGAGGATAGAGGCTATAGGTTCAAGGATGAACAAAATGGAAACAAAGGTGGGATGAAAGAGGACTTGGCGGGCTTGTCATAGTTGAGTTCTGGGCCGGGACAGTTATTGGCTGTCCGCTTGACTCATGCAAAAACAAAACACACTGACAGGATGCATCATAAGCCTTCGACCCCGATTGCGTATCACTTCAAACTATGCTGCGCGAAACAGGTGACTGTTCCAAATGAGATGGTTTTTTAAAATTCTCTCATTGACAAAGGCCATCACTCACGACGCAAAAGCACAAGAAGTTTATAACACCTTTGTCAAAATAATGTTTGCTTTTCTCTTCGCTTTGTCACAACTAATGCTTTTAAAAGGCAAAGTGGTATGCCTAAATGACTATAAGAGCTCTGTGCACAGAGGGTGTAAAAGTTAGACAGTTGCACGTGATGTACCGATGAAGAAAGCGTTGTGGCTTACCCATCACCTCCAGGGTGAATGTCTTTGGCCCTGGCCACAAGGACTTTGAGAGCATCCAGCGCGGCCATGTCCCGGGAGGACTCCAGGGAGGTGTTGCTGCCGTGGAAGCTCTGGGGGTTCTCACTGCCTATAGTGATGCGAGTAATGTGCTCCGTGCCACTTGTGCGCTTCTGAAACATGATATCGTTTGTGTCAGATTTAAGGAATAAAGAGAAGGGAGCAATGTCATTCAATTTCAAATTCAAGTCAATAGCCATAGATCTAACTTGTTTGATTTAGGACAAAAGCCGAAAAAAGAAAAATCTCTGTTCTGAGACAAGCTTTGTTGCTTCCCTTGAATCTCAGACACAGGCGATGTCATAACACTTTTCACGTGTCCCTCGAAGAACCGAGGCCGGTCCCGATGAATTCGAGTTATCCGTGTTACATCGTAGATGCACATATTTGACAGTTTTGAGAGCTCGTATTTCACCAAGTTTCAGAAGCTAAAAAAAAAAAAAAAGACTCTTGGTCTTGTAAACAGTCCAAGCAGTAAAAGTAAACACTTATAAAATGTTATCCAAGTGTAGAACTCATCAACATTCGGATTCGCATTTTTATTTGTAATATTTCTATGGCGTATAGTAGGTCGGCCGTCATCAGCCGCAGCACCACAGAAGCCACCCTGACGGCTGATCATTGGCTGTCATGACACCTGGAGGGTTAAGGCTCATTTTAACATTTTCTTTACTACATTCAACTCTGATGGCAAGGGTTTTTACTATATGAGCCGTGTGAAGGCAAAATGTGAAGTCGATCTTTTTCTCTGGACCCAGCACCTCTTCTTCTTTACAAGTCTCAATGGTTACGTTGAACTTTAGATGAGCTGATCTTTTTTCACTTCCAGGACATCAACTCACCCATAGTCGATTGTATTTTGAAAGAACTTTTGTTTCGCATGAAAAGGAAATTTAAAACAGCAGCTAACTAAACACAAAATTCAAAGATAACGATTCCCTTATTTTCAGAGGAAACAAACAGAGAACTAACCTTAGTGAAGTCATCAATCTCCAGTTGACAGTCCATTGCCTTACATAGTTCTCTGAGCTGTATCTCCGGCCGCAGATTTGGCTTCAAGATACTGGCAAGATTGACTAGAGACTCTTTGGACGCTGTGTGCTGATTCCCTGATGTCAGGAGGGCAATTATAAAGTTTCAGTAAGTTTTATATCACAACATAACCTCACACCCAATCTTGCTTCCCACTAGACTTGCTACTGGTATTCAAATTAAGATATTTAAGTATTTAAATCCAAACCATTTCAAAAGTATGGCTCTCAAGAATTTCTGATTAGTCTGGATTTGCTCCTTACATACAAGCATCTCTGTCGCAAATGGCTCTCTTGTTTGCTCTACCGCGCCCACGCTCCCTCTCAGAGAAGGCAGGCCCGTGCCCAGAGCTCGACTTACACAAAGAAAACAGGGCAAGAATGAACTCGAAGCTGGTTGGGTCTTCAACTTGGTTATTCAAATCAGGTAATAGAAGTGGACGTCCAGGCATACATTTGGGTTTTCATCCAGCACTAGTCAATACTTAGCTCCAAAAATAATTTCAAAGAGACATATTAACCCAGGTAAATAGACCCCAGTGCCGGGGGAAATCTCGTCAACCAAGGCTGCTCAGGGGTGACCCCACTGTACCTTCCATAACTTTTTTATTTATGAATATTTCCTCATGAATTTCTGCATACATTCTACATTGAACTATATTTCTATAGATATGATTTTGGGGGGATTTCATTGAGAGACACATGGAGAAATGTTGGGGAGTTGGTAACATGATGCCAAAAATAATATAGACCTGCATGTGAGCCTCAATCAGATTGTCTGAAAATTTTGCCCCCCCCCCCCCTATATTAGAGCTTTTGTCAATTTTGTGGGTGTCATAAGGAAGGACTTCTGAGTAACGAGCGACCACCCCAACAAACACTATAAAGAAGAGACCTAACTCTAACCCTACCCCAAAAAAGAACCTGAAACGGGCCTCATGTAGATATAGGCCTACGCAAGTCGGGACCACCTTATCCAAGTAGTGCCTCGTAATCTAAATAAATCTAGATTCTAGATATTGTAGAACAAGTGAATAGGAATAGGCCTTGAACTAGAAATCCGCATCCGATTCTGAACAGAGGGACTCAGCTGAGTCTAGATTCTAAATAAATAAATAATTCACGCACCTGATGAAATGCTTTTTAGCAACATTAATATTACAGCACAACCTATGATAGGGTTTGACACAATAGAATTAGAATATGAATCTTCCATTGAGGTCTATAATGATCTATATAAATCTAGATCTAGATTCTAGTAAGTGAGTCGGACTTGAATGAATCCACATGATCTGAACAATCAGTAAACAAACGAAATTCAAAATGGCCGCTCGAGCACGAAACTGAAAGTAGATAATTTAGGCCGTCGTCCTTTTTCTTATTTGCATTTCTACTCAGGTTCCGACAATTATGTCGGAAACGCCGACGTCGGCACAAAAACGAAAGTGCTGACGGGAGAAAAAGGGGGCGCTGGCAGTTGGCCAGGCCTCGCACTTCGCACATTGACTAGGCCCTTATACAGGTGGGCCTAGCGATAGCATCGGCCGGCTCGCGATTGTTGGATTTCAGACGATAGTCGGCAAACATGCAGGTCTATAATAGGGTTTGATACAATAACACAATAGAATTGGAATATGAATCCTCCATATAGATCTAGTAATCTAAATATATCTAGATCTTGTAAAACAAGTGAATAGGAATAGGCCTTGAACTAGAAATCCGCACCCGATTCTGAACAGAGGGACTCAGCCGAGTCTAGATTCTAAATAAATAAATAAATCACGCACCTGATGAAATGCTTTTTACCAACATTAATATCACAGCAAAACCTATGATAGGGTTTGACACAATAGAACTGGAATATGAATCCTCCATTGAGGTCTATAATGATCTATATAAATCTAGATCTAGATTCTATTAGAACAAGTGAGTCGGACTTGAATGAACCCACACGATCTGAACAATTGAATTAGTCAACAAACGAAATTCAAAATGGCAGTTCAAGCACAAAACTGAGAGTAGATAATTTAGGTCGTCCTCCTTTTTCGTATTCGCATTTCTACTCAGGTTCCAACAATTATGTCGGAAACGCAGACGCCGGCAGGAAAACGAAAGTGCCGACAAAGCCGACGGGAGAAAAAGAGGGAGCTGGCAGTCGGCCAGGTCTCGCACTACGCACATTGATTGATACAGGTGGGTCTAGTGATAGCATCGGCCTGCTCGCGGGTCGGGTCGCGATTGTCGGATTTCAGACAATTGTCGGCAAACATGCAGGTCTAATAACACCACCAAACAACATAAACACACATAAAATAATCATATTGTGATGATGTGCTTTTAAAAAAAACTTTTGTCACAGGATTTCAAAAGCATGGGCCACAATGGATTGCAACAAAGACACACATACTATTCTTAGAGAAAACTCACCAGAAGATGATGCACTTGACTTAGACGGCAGGTGAAGCAGACCAGGCACTCTTTGCTGATTGGAGCCAGAGCTGACTTTATCATCTCCATCTGTAAACAGCAGGAAAAATTACATTGATGTAACTCAGTATGATTTGTTGTGTCAACTAAACTGCAAACTTTTGATGAAACTACTGTCATATCATTTATACTTGGCTCTTTTGACCCCAGGCTAGGCCAAATCGGATCAAATGGGATACAGCATCTGAGCAGACAAATAGAGATACTCAGGGTAAAAAATTTATCTCACGATAATTAAACTCACATCTTCCTGGAATAGCAGAGTACCAGAGATCCACTCAACCTGCTAGTTAGCCATGAGAAAAAATGCACATTTATAATGAAAGCACACCACTACATAGACGATTCAAAGAATGGTCCCCAAAAAGGCAAGACGTACCACCTTTTTTCAGATAAGACAACAAAAGTTTACGAGAAAACACGACACATCAGAGACAAGAGGCATTCGGGTCACGATTGATCAAAATAGTAATATTTGAATATATTCATATATGAGCTTCTGAAGAGGTATCAGTGATAAAAAGGAAGAGCAAATAAGGCATCACACAATTAAAATACCAGAAGGAAGTGGGGCAACTATACTAATCTGGTGAAAATGAATCAAGATATTTACCACCAGGAGAATCTCCGCCAACAAAGGTCACCTTCTTGTCACCGTTAGTCTGACCAGCCTAGAGAGAAAGAGAAAAGAAACATTTAACTCAAAATAAAGGCCAAAGTTTTTTTTTATGTGCGTGTGCCTGACAAAAGGGGCATTATTAATTTTAAAAATCAAGAGATAAATAGTCTCAAATAAGTTTTCTGAATAAGCAGGTCATTAACTTTCTTCAGATATCTTGAAAGCTTCCTATAAAACCTATCCTAGTCTATCATACTGAATATAAACTTACTCTCTTTATGTTTAAATCATTTTAAACATTTATTTTTACTCATTAATGCAACTCATTTCTTTTTGTATTTCAACAGTGTTATAATTTGATTTGCTTTTTTTCTAACTCACTTGAGCCTGAGCTTTTTTTCACCCAACAACTATTGAAGCCTGACAATTTTGGGGTATATTGAATCGTTAACTTTAAAAAATTGTGATAGCTATTATAATAAAATAATGCTACAAAAGAAAAAGAAAACTGCAACTAATTAGCCTAAATGGTTTTCAGTTTTGCAATATTTTTTAATGTCTGGGGTTATGCAATTTTTTTTATATACCCAATTTGTAATAAAATCATGTAACAAAAAATAACTGTCCTGCATGCAATGTTCATGTGACTTCTTCTGCGTTGCAGAACATTTTCTGAGTAATTCAGAAATCACATACAAGCAGTTACCTTTAACTTATGAACGTAGAGTTTGGTGTGAAAGCATGAAATCGACTCTCAGTTGGGAGTACATAATGCATTTTGCAAAGTATCCTGTTGCTATAGTTCTGTCTGAAGTCTATACTAATATATTACTGTCCTTTTCTCACCTTGTTGTATTGTTACACTTGCAACTAACAGGTGTCCAAGTCACAAGGCATTTTTAGAGAAATCTGCTTTTGAAAGTCATTTTACGCTCAAAATTTCAACCAAAAAAGTTTCACTCTTTAAAAGAAATTCCAGAAAAATGGAAGAAAATATATATAAAAATATCAGTCAGTCACCTATAACTATTTCTACTAAATTGATATTTGTAAAAAAAATTAACATTATGCCTTTTGGTGTTCAAAATTCTAGGATTTTCCCAAGTATTATATAATTTCAATATGGCCGTCAGTATTACATAACATATTGTGGTTGAAATTTTAACAAAGGTTTTGAATTATTTCCTGGAGGGTACTGCATATTATGCAAAAGTTTGTTTGAATGAAAAGATGCATTTATAACAACTAAAGCTTTTGTGAGTAGCTGGACCCCTTAAACATTTCAAACATGTTTCATTTATGTGTTTGAGAGGCTATCTCCACTCTAAAAACGACAGCGGCTTTGTTTCCTTTCACAGAGCTTCTACTGCAATGCAGGGGTGTCTGACTTAGTTTGTTGCAGTTAAAAAAGTATTGCACTTAACGTTACCAAATTTTTAACAGAACGAAACAAATGGGTCAACTGTTGGCTTGCCGCTTCCCATAGCATGTTACAAAAAAACAACAACACAGGAGATATCAACAGCTAAACTGTATCCCGTAAATACACTGGATCCCATCAATGGGCTGGAGGCGTGTCCCGTAAAACATGGGAATAGGCTCAAGTGAGTTAAAAGATTTCTTAAATATTTTTCGCTTTTCTCAAAAACATGTTCACTTAATTAACCCTAGATCAGATCTAAAAATAACTTGTATGTCAATATACAGGTACCTCAAGGCATTACTGTACTGGCTCTCATAACAAATGGACAGGCAGACTGGAGAGCAGTAGAAGGTGGAACCCTTCAAATGTGGGAACAATAGCTAACAGTCTGAACAAACAAACAAAAAAATATCTAACCTCTCCAGTAGAGGGGTTTTTGAAAGAGGATTTTGTAGGTTGGGGACTGGGCTTGGTGTAGCCGAGCAGCTGCAACATGGCTTCTGCTGCTGCTCTCTTGGCCAGTTTCTTGTTGGGTCCAGAGCCAGGACACGTCTTGTCCTCAACCTCAACCTGAGAGAGAACGGAGAGACAATCAGTGCACATGGCATGATTGTACACGAAAAATTGATTGGTTTTAACTCCAAAAAGATAGTACCAGAGATGCCAACCACAGAAAACCGAAATGAGTATTGGGAAATTTGAAAATGTGTATTTTCAGGGGAAAATGTGTATTCCCCACGACCGACCGACCAACTAGTAATAGTAAAATGTTAAGGGGGTCAAGCAATATTTCCTGAAAAAAAATTACTAGCTCACCAGCTTGAAAAAGGGAGCACACACACGTTCAATATACATGTATCCAGTCAACAACATGTCAGTGTTCAGTGTCGTACTGGGGTCTTGTTTGACTTAAATATTTCAGTCTATTATACCGGTAATATTTTCCTCTCATTATTATATAAAAAATAAATCCTGCTTTGAGAGTTCGGAAGGGCCTAAAACAAAAATTTCGACAACCAAGAACCAGTCTGGGTGTCATGATTCATATTATGAACTGACAGACTCAAAATATTGCTCAAACTCAGAGAAAAGCGATAACTTGAAAGACTCAAGTAGACCCATGCACTGTGAGAGTTGTAATAACTGTGGTAGGGCAAGATGTAGTGACACTGAAAATCAACCAGCCTTGAACAGAAAGCCACAACATACACTGTAGGCTAGGTATAATTTACAATATCACCCATCCAATGAAACCCGAACACATTATTTCAATAACACAGACTTGCAAAGTTTGAAGGGTCCCGATTCCGCACACGGCCTGCACCAACGCGCGCTTTGCAGAAAGCTCTAATCAAAATTTTGAAATGTGCTTCCAAGTTTTTGTCCTCTGGTGTTGCCTTCACACCCTCCCCCATAATATCTTAAACCCCCCAAAAATCAATAATCTCCTCCCCTATTCCGTAGTCCTATACTTCGCAAGGCCGTTACTCCCACCAAAGACGGTCTTTGCTCACACGATGCCACATTTATTTATGACACGAATGCGCGCAGGTTCAGTGACCGGTCACGATGGCGAGCCAGACAATCTAAAAATCGGACGACGCTTGTATTTTATTTTCTTTTTTTCCACAAGTGACAGCACAGAGGCGAGTCCGAGCATTGATTAAATTTTATTTGCATGGCGACCTTGCGTTTATACTGCACAACCTGCATGTCACAAAAGTTGCGTTATTAGACAACTGCTGGCAAACTACTCGGTGGTAACGAAAGCGAAAGTAGATCTTGATTTTCGCGATCGAGCCTCGGTGTCACATACGCTTCCGCCATAGCTGCCTATTCGCTTGAAAGTGAAACGTACTCTCCGGACCGAGAGAAGCTGAACGAATATAATATCACGATCGCGACCGGCAAAAATTAACTTACTAACCACATCGGACTTGGCTTTCAAATATTCCAGTTCTGCGATACTGATACTATTTTGACAAAAGATGAGACTTTAGTACTATTTTTAAAATATAAATTACTTTTTGCTACTGAATTATTACAATGAATTTTTAACTTCAAATATTAAGAAAGAACCAAGCTATGCTGTGAACAAACATGAAAGCAACCAACTTGAGCGGCAAATGTTCATATGATTATGCAGCTGTGAGCACTACTATAAAACTCATACTTACCACTCACAAAACTTAGACAGTACAAGGCAAGAGTGAGAGTGAAACATTTAGATGAGAGAGAGAGAGAGAGGGGGGGGGGGGAAGAAGTAGTAATCAGTAACAGATAGAGTCAGTGAGAAAACAGGGATAGGGAGAGAAGGAGAGGGATAGTCAAAATAGCACACAAAGTGTCCATCTCTACATAAACAGACGTCCAGTACAACTGAACATAATCGTCTCTTCCCAAGAAGAAAAAATTCATTACCAGCATACATTTCAAATCTACTGTGTAATACATATGTGTTTCAGATAAAACGTGTATACATGTTCATTCTCACATTAGGTGCAGTGATTATACACAATTAACAAAAAGATTCCACAGCTAAAACATAAAGCAGACCTGCCACTCTATAGTTTAGTTTAGTAGGGGTTTTTCGGCGCTCGCAACGGCATAAGGTTATATGAGCGCCAGAAGATTAGAGCTGTTACAAGACAGTAACAAACATAAAAAAGATGAAGGGGAGATAAGGACGATAGATGTTTGATAGGAAAGAAGAAGCAAACCACACCAGAGCACTCGCCAACCATCCACTGCCACTCTAAGAAACCTCAAAATCAGGATCTCAGGGAGAAAAAATCGGGATTTGGTGAAAATAATCGGGATCAACAGCAAATCACCAAGGTGACTGCCAAAGCTGACTTACAATTTTTCCAGGGGTGTCCATAAATTACTTGGCCTATATGCCCTCTGAGTGTCTTTGTTTGCGTGCACGTGTGTGCGCGTGCGTGCGAGTTATCATTATTTTTTGTAAATCCTGAAGCATCACGTCAAGCACTAATAGTCCAAGGGTCTATAACCCTCCCACCCCAACCAATAAGTCCCGAAATACATGAACTTAAGTTGACCCCGCCAACGGACTGTCCCCGACACGCAGAACTCACACGGCGATGTCATGTCACGTGACGTGAATGCGCGATTGAAACAATTTTGTTAACGGGTCCGACTAACTGCGCGTTCACACAAAACTCTCAGATGAGCGACAGTCATTCTACTTCTAGTACTCTAGGATAAGAACGGCGGCCGACCGACAAATTGTACCAACAAATCTCTTATATCCCTCATAATGCGTTCAGACTAAAGCAACGCCAACGGCCGTATGTTAGTCCTGTCAGTACAGTTACATGTAGCTGTGCAAGGGTTAGAAAGACAGTTGCTCGTCCGAGTGTTTGGTGTGAAGGCGCAGTTACCAGACCTCGGACAAGCCTTGTTTTGAAAGCAACAGCGGAACTTTGAATATTATCGATTATTTGTATGTCCCAAATTGTAACAGTTACCAGGCTATCATCGGAGAATTCTGAGTGCGGGCAAAGATCACACACAACTTGGGGCGAGTCAACTACTAAATGCGGCATCGATATTTCAGGAAATAGTGCTCCGAGTTCCTACTGACAAAAAGTTCAACGGGTGCTTCCCGCGATGAAGGAGAAGGCAGAGTAAGTTTTTAGAAAAATCCGGCAAAACAGCAGACTGGGACAAAAAATCGGAATACACACGGTCGAAATCGGGAAAATCAGGATGATTGAGATTTGGGGCAAAAAATCGGGATGAGTGGCAGGTCTGATAAAGGCTATCACAGCACTAAAAACAGACAAAAGGAGTTGAGGAAAAAAAAGAAAGGCAAAGAACATTTCAATTCTCAAAAGCATCTCAATTATTCATACATACTGTCCTCACCTGTACAATAAATTCCCTCCTCCTGGGCAGGCCTCTCTCGGTGACCAGGGTGTAGACTGGTTCTTTTTTCTTCTGTGCTTGCATGATCTGGATGAGACGGCTGATCGGGTTGATCCCTACTCCATAGTTGGGGTCAGCCTTTTGTTGTTGCAGTTCAGACTGAAAAAAAAAAAAAAAACATTTAAGGGGATGGAGCTATGGTCAACACCCAAATGCTAAATGTATGGGTTAAATGCTTGTTTTTCTGCACCAAATGGTGTATCTGTGTTCAAGAAAAGGTGAAAAAAAATTCAAGGTCCCAGCCATAACACTCTTGTACCGGTCACATCAAAAATAAACTGCCGACTCGGCACTTTTTACCCAAAATTTATATTGAGTGAATCATCAAAACTACTCAAGATTGAAGCTCAATATTTGCCATGGCTACTACTACTGGCATGTCTTACAACATTACAGGGCCAAATTTGATTTATCTGTATTATGCTGTGAGATTTTTTGTTCTGCTTTGGCCCTTCGTTCAGATCTCCTGAGGTTTTGATGCATTGTCCATTGAAAAAGTTAATAATTCACAATGTGTACACCAAACAGCTAAAATGACCCTGCAAGTTTGTAGGAGGTACATATGTATTGAAGATTGTGTCCAAAAATGAACAAATTCTGACAGTAACTTTCCAAGATCCACTCAATATAGTCTCGCAATTTTTTCGAAAAAGCAATTCTGAGAAAATCGCAAAAAAAGATTTTCAATAGTAAAAACCATCCCCATTTTACATAGCTATGAAAAAACAGTACTATTTATCAATTTCCACAATCCAGAGTGCCCCATACCGGTGGCTGAAGCAGCTCTGCGATTAACGTCATAAACTGAAGTTGAAGACATTTCACACCTGTCTGAAGTGTACGTTTGGGTCACCGTTTCACTACAGGTTTCACATTTAACAGCAAATGAAATTCCCAGGCCACAGTTCTTGCTTGTTTCATTTGTCAATGAGAGGGAAGGTTGTAGACACGTTGGACACAGAGGGCCTATGAACAATGTTTTCAGAGTCTGGAGGTCAACAACAGTCGATGGCAAGCTGTTTGTGAAGTCATCTTGAGATGTTTCAGGAGAGTTGTAGGCCAGTTTTCTTTTGGAGGCAGAAACTGTAGGTGCAGGCTCAGACTCAGCTGGTGCTGATACTGGAGTAGTTTGTTGCTGAGCAGAACAGACGGATGTTGACGGCTGAGCTTCCAGCAGTGATGGCATTGGACTGCCTAACGAATATGAAGGGACGCAATTGCAGCAGTTGGAGACTGGTTACTATTTCTGGCCGAAATGTTGTGACGAGCAAGAAGGAGCTGCTCTCTCCTTTTCTGCTCCTTCCCGAAAGCACAGGGCTGCCTACCTCAAAGTTCCCATTTCAGGTAGATTCAGGGTCATTTTCAGGTAGTTTGGCCCAAAATCAGGTTGTACAAAGACAAAGAAGAAAAAAAAAAAAGATGATCGTTGCCCCATCCAACACGCTTGCTTTCCGTGATATTGGGTAATTATACAGTCCATGCCGGCTTTAAGCACGGTCATCGGGAGAAAGCTTAAGCGTGCTTAAAGCCGAAGCGTGCTTAAAGCCGAAGCGTGCTTAAAGCCGAAGCGTGCTTAAGTGCGAAGTAGACACAATCCAGATATTTTCATATAGAAAATTCCCCGTGCTATTTCCCTTTGTAAGTAGGCCTATAGCGGTCCCGCAAAAGTGTGCACTGTTATTTAGACACCCGCCATGGTAGTTTTTGTTCGCTTGTTTGTTTTTGTTTTGTGGTCGAATGGGAAATGAAAACTTAATTTAGACGGCCAGTCACGATACAGCACACTAGGCCTACTGTAACACACTGCCTGTGCGTACCACTCATACCACCGCCTTCATCCCACCTCGCGCGTGATACACAATCAGGATTAATGGATAGCGAGGGTCAATGGTAAAATCTCAGCCAGCCTCCCTTTCTCGTCTCCCCGACTCTCTTTGTATTTTTTTTTGTTGGTCATGTGTAGCTTTGCCCTAGGCTAGATCCTATGTCCGCGAGCACAGCTGTGTGCATCTCTCTGCCTTCCTCTCCGCCCGTGTGAGTGTATGTGTCCGAACTTCGATGGGTCATCATGAAAATATTGACTGTCTTGTAAATGAAGCGTGCCTGAAGCCGAAGTTACCGTGCTTATAGGCGTGTAATTTAAATAGCAAAATTCGGTAAGAGCCGTTTAGCGTGCTTGAGTCCGAAACGTGCTTAAGGCCGGCACGGACTGTATTTCGAAAACTTGTTTGTGCATGCACATGAGTGTGTGTGTTTGTGTGTACATGTTGCCATGTTCTCGCATGTGTTTACGAGTATATAAGTGCGTGGGGAAGGAAGGGGGCGTTTGGGTGTGCACAAGTTACGATGAACAGTGTGTATGAAATGAGGCGAGGTGGTTTTTAAAAAAGCACCTACAACGTTCAGCGATGGAAAATTCAGCTCGAATGAACCGCCCGAATGCGCTGCGCTCTTAATCTGTCAAAATTTGCGTGCCACGCGTTGTGGTAGAACGCTTAACGACACTTGTAGTTTTAACTCAAAAATCTATAATGTTACGCATTTCTAACCCCCATTGAAACTAACATGGAAACAAAAAGCTCATATAGACCTCTCATTTCATGTTGGTTTTATGATGCTAGGCTAAGAACTAATAAGGTTATGAGCCGAGAAAGAGGAAAAAATCGGGATTTTAGCATTTTCTCGGGTCTAAGCGATTTTTTTTTTCTCCAGATTCCCAGGTAATAAATTCCCGCAATCCTCATTTGGTACTGACCAATTCTCTAGACCAAGACAGATTTTTGAATGTTTTCCTTCTACATTCACAATTCTGTTTTCTAGATAAATGAATTAAATGCAGATTTTCCAGCCGCAGCAAAAAACTGAAGATAGACAGAAAGAAAGAATGAATGAAAAGGAGGAAGATTATCCATCGTGAGTAGACAGATTTTAGCCGATATAATGCATGTGAAAAACTATTGTCGACCGAACGGCACAGATAGACAATGGTCGAGCGTACGAAATGCACAATCTGGAAGTTTCTAATACAATTTATTGCCGAGAGCTGCAGACAGTTGCCGTAAATATCTGACAAGTTACGGAGGCAAGTCAGTGCTGATCTCTCTCTCTCTCTAACATATTATTATGGAGTTGATATGATGATGCGGCAAGTACGGAACTTTCGGAAAGTACAGATTTCCGTAAAAACAAAAGAAGGGAAACACTGCAGAATGTTTTTTTCTGTTTATTCTCTCTGCACCCATCGCAAATCCGGTAGTTTTGACACCTTATAGGTATGGCGGTAGAACAGGCCCAAAATCGGAATCCACCGGAAAAATCGCTAGATTTAGGCAGCCATGAAAGCATGAGCTTTCTTTGTTGCTTGTTTCATCATGAGCTTTCTTTGCTGCTTGTTTCACCTTGAACAAGATGAAAGCTGAAACAATGAAGAAGAAAAATGGTATATTACAAAAGAGCCTGGAAAAAGACCTCCACTATCCGTCAATACACGTGAAGTGGATACAACTGATGTCAATAAATTGTTAAAAATGAATTACAGAGCTGCTTGTTTCAGCAAGCTAAAAAATTAGGGCAGACGATCCCGCAGGACAGAGCCCCATTTGAAAATGAAACGCAGGCAGCAAAGAGCTGCATGTTATATCAGAAGCAATAGCAAGCTAAAAAAAATTGGGCAGACGCTCCTGCGGGCAGAGCCCATTCTGAAAATTAAAGCATGTTTCAGCAAGCTAAAAAAAATTGGGCAGACGCTCCCGCGGGGCAGAGCTCAATTTGAGAGCACCAAAGTCACAGACATACATCTTCAATTACCTCTCCAAGCAATCAACAATCACAAGTAATGATGTTCTTGTTCTTCACAACCAGACCACTCACTGTTGTGAAGTCTTCACAAACACAGCAATCTTTTACAGTCTCAGAACTTTGAGGAAGCTCTCTAATCTAGATCTATGATGAGCTACCAGTAATAATATTATATAGGCAACACCTAGTATAGCACCATAACAACAACAGTTAGATCTACGTCCAGACTACGAGACAATCAATCACGTACTTCACAACCCTAGAATCTAGATCTGCCACTCATTGTTGTGAAGTGTCCACAAACCCAGCAATCATTTACACTCTCAGCCCTCTGAGGAAGTTCTATATATTTTAATCTAGATCTATTAGGTACCAATAATAATACATGTACCGGTATAGGACTATAGACTACACTACACTACAAACAGTAAGAAGGATCGAGATCATGAGAATCAGCTGATTCAGATTCAGGGCGAAGTGACCCACTTCGGGGTTGGTGAGCTTGAGCGGTCTAGAAACAATTGATTCAGGCAAAAAACAAGGGTTAAGCACAGATTTAGCAATTATAGTTCTATTCACTCACCTGAATTGACGAAAGGATGGGTTGAGAATTCAGTACGACAAAAACAATGCGTCAAAACATTCACTGTCTGTTCGTAGGCACGCAGCGTAAACAAAATAGTAATGGCGGTTGTAGGGGATTTCCCTTCGTTTGCTACCGTCTCAGCCAATGACCGTTCGCGAAATGGTCACATGCTAGAAAGCTCCAATCAGGACTTACTAAAGGGATTCCAAAAGTGCGTAAACAGCGCCCCCTGTTATTTCTATACGATACCAAAACTTAAGTAAATGAACGTCTGAAATCACAATCTTTCCAACGATACCAAACTTTCCTACATTACGACAATGTACGACCGCACGAGAAAGGGTCAAAGTTGCGCTTTTCCCCCCACTTTTTTTGACAAATAAGCTTCACCCCTACCTCTTTCAAATGCATTTTTGAGTGATTTTGAAGTGTTTTTGAGTAGTGAGGCCTCCGAAATGGGATTGCCGACATATTTTTCTACAAGAATATTCCAGAACCTGAAATTCGATATTTTGAATCCCAACTTGAAAATATCGCGTTTGGTCGACCCGTAGATTAAAGTTACCATCATATCTACAATTCAAGCCAATGATGGTCTTTAAAGCTCAAAGCTCAAGAGTAAAGCTAAAGCAAGAAAAAAGAACAGCATCTGTCCATTATTTTAACAGCCTTGACAACAAAAATCACATACACTGACCCTCTCTTCTGGTCATTTCCTAAAAAGGCCTGATTACACCAGAATTGTTCTCCAATTAAAAGATAGCTGAAAGCGAATCCGCATTATAGCAGCCCTGCACCAAAACAGATACAGATCACAGCGGTTATAGAGCGCCCATTTAGTTTCGGGCAGTTTCGGCTGGCGCGAGGCAAGCAAGCCCGCGCTTCCCCAGGTCACGGGGTCATTTACCTGCGCCGCCGGGGATTTCCCTAATCAGCCGAACACCGGCAGCGCTCTTGTATTTTTTGCAAAGTTTACCAGCACAGTGAGCCAAAGCTAATGTAAGATGAATATTTTAATAAAGACCACGTAAATATTCAACATATTAAGGAAGAAAATGAAGAAATCGGAAGAACATGGTACATTACACTTAAAAGCTGTGAAGTTCTCAAAAAGGGGACTTAATTTGATAAATGTGTCATGGGTAATCAATTATAAACATCGATTTAAATATGATTGCCCCCAACGAATTCAATCAAATTTGCACACAGGACTGAGAACATAATGAAATTTGTACTGACAAAGGGGCATATGCACGAAGTTTCTGGATCCGTAATTATTCAGGTTTGAAGTTGATTTTTGCAATACTCTTGCTTTGCGACCTTGTTTTTTCATAGCGATATCCACGATACATGTAACTACAGGACAGATCTTTTCTTGCCGATACACTTATGAAAACACAACCTAAACACAAAATACAAAAAGAACACAATATTGCTGGACTGGAGGAATTATCTCATTTTTCCGCGGTAAGCTTTCGTCTTTTGATGGGTGGTGCACACGACAGAGTAGCTCAGGGTGGGTTGGACGTGTTGTGACTGCATGATTGTTTTGACGTGTTTTTCTTTGTCTGTTAGGCCACGGTTGCATGAATGAGCTCACCCCCTTGCTCACCATGGAAGGCCATTCCAAACCCACATTTTTGTATCCAAGGAACGCAGTGTTTCTCAAGGATGTGTTGTTTGGGGATGACCTTTTCTTTTGATCGATTTTGATTGAGTAGCACGTGTTTTACAGCACTATCGACTCCAGACCTTTTATTTGCCAAATATGTTTCTGTATAAAGACATAGATCGTGTGATGCATGACTGAATATGTGGTATTCTGTCTAAAGTGATTGGCTTTCCATGTGCAATTACTGTGTGGATATCTTTGAAGGTGTCTTTTACGTGAACAAATTTCTCTCTCAGAACAATTAATGCGGTGTCTATTAGGCTTTGATTTCGTGTACATGCAACTGTTCCTTTTGCTAAAAATGATGCTAGCTGTCTGTACACATGGGCTGTGATGTATTTATGGCAGTGGCTTCCTATAAATGAACGGCTGTGGTAGACCTGTGGTGTGATGTTGTGTTGTTTGAGGATGTTATCAAATTCAGAGCAGGCAGGACTTGACCTTGGAATAAGCTCCTCAAACTCTAACTCTGACAGCTGATCATGTACACTAGAACCCTTCCTCTCAAATCTCTCTGCTTCTCGTGGATTATCCGACAAAATCTGACAGCCCTGTAACAATTGAATGTCCTCCTTGTTTTTTTCCAGCCCTCTTTCATTTTTTTGCCGTAGATATGCACATTTTGTCCTATTCCAGGCGTGCAATTCTCCATAGATTGATGGACCAGCTGTACATCTATATCATGTGCCAGCTGTACATCTATATCATTTGCAGCCTCCTCAAGAAGGCGATGATGTTTGAGCACAATGCCCACCATATGACCATGTTGAGTGTGGCACTCCATGACAAAAATATTGTTAAAAATGACAACGAAAATCAGATGTAGTAGAGGCAAGAAAACTAAAAACAGCAAGGATGAATGTTCAGAGTGGTGGGTTGATATTTTTAAAAAATCACAGAAAATCATAGAATAACTTCGTGCATTTGAAACTTGCACATGTAAATGAAAATTGTCACCACAGTTGATACATGAATTTCTGTTTAAATCGTTGGGGGCCGGATTGAAATATCTAAATCCAAACTGAAAAAGTTCTAAACATTGAAGATGCCAGTTTGAAAATCACAGACTTACTTTTAAATCCCTTGTAAAACTGATATAATCGGACTTACAAGAAAACAAGTTATACCGGCCTACAGGTCAAACATAGCACGTTACAATGAAATCTCAATCGGCCTTGTAGCATTTATAGTTTCAGAGTTAAGAGGTTTTCAATTCGCACTAAAACGCCATATTTACTACTGCCCCGGCACAGGAGGAGTGGCGCTGCGGTAACCCCAATTAACCCCTCTGACAAGTGATTTATGACTACGCGCTGGGCTGTCGGGCGGGGCGGGCAGGGTGGTGAGGATGGTCGGGGAGGAACCGGGGAAGGAAAACTAAGTGAGCGGTCTGGACGGTATTTTATCCGCCGTGAGATATTAGTAACCAAAATTGAAAAATAGCTTATTAGGCAGACCATAGGACGCACGTGCAACTACCTACTCATAATGAATTTAACAAGTTTAATCACATAGACTGAAAGTAACATTTAGCTAAATAAAAAATGAAACTCCTACTACAAGTGTGTAGTAAAAAAACATCCTTGAACAGATAAACGCCCAATTAAAATGGAATAACATTTACTTAACACAAGAAAGAAGCATGGCCACTCAAATTCAGCTTCAACCTTCCAAAACAAACAGTGGTATAGCCAGCATCCTACCTTGATCAGATTTCTGTTCTTCTTTTTATTCATCTGTATTTTTGACTTGGGTCTCGGGAAAGCAGGAGTAGCAAGAGGAGGAAGCTTGCGGAGCTCTTCCAACATCAGCTCAGCAGCCTTTTTCTTGGAGGTCTTTTTGCTGTTGCCCTCTCCCTCAGTGACCATGTCTGCTACAGTGCAGCGGGTCAAAAAGTTCTTCATGTGAGGGGGGCCAGTTTCACGAATCACCTGCAAAAGAGATAAGTAAAAAGTGGGTTTACACCAGAAAACTGTTGGAAAGAAAAAGGTAAACAGTGGCGGCCAGCACAAAGACCTGACCAATATACCATAATGCAGAAATGCCAACCACAGAAAACCGAAATGAGTATTGGGAAATATGAAAATGTGTATTCCCCACGACCGACCAACTAGTAATAGTAAAATGTTCAGGGTGTCCAGCAATATTTCCTGAAAAAAATTACTAGCTCACCAGCTCGAAAAAGGGACCACACAACACCGTACAATATACACGTATCCAGTCAACAACATGCCAGTGTAAAATGTCGTACTGGTGTCTGGTTTGACTTCAGTATTTCAGTCTATTATATAGGCCTACCGGAAACATTTTCCTCTCATTATTATATAAAAAATAAATCCTGCTTTGAGAGTTCGAAAGGGCCTTGAACAAGAATTTAGACTATCAAGAACCAGTCTGGGTGTCATGATTCATAATATGAACTGACAGACTCAAATTATTGCTCAAACTCAGAGAAAAGCAATAACTTGAATGGCTCAAGTAGATCTATGCACTGTGAGAGTATTAACAACTGGTAGGGCAAGATGCAGTGACACTGAAAATCTGCCAGTCTTGAACAGAAAGTGAAAGCTACAACATACACTGTTGGTATAATTTACTATCACCCATCCAATGAAACGCCAACACTTTATTTCAATAACACAGACTTGCAAATTATGAAGGGTCCTGATTCCACACATGGCCTGCACCAACGCGCGCTTCGCAGAAAGCTCTAATCAAAATTCTGAAATGTGCTTCCAAGTTATTGTCCTCTGGTGTTGCCTTAAACACCCCCCCCTCCCCCCCTAAAAAATTAATAATCTCCTCCACTATTCCGTAGTCCTATACTTCGCAACGCCGTTACTACCACCAAAGACGGTATTTGCTCACACAATGCCGCATTTATTTATGATGCGAATGCGCGCAGGTTCAGTGACCGGTCACAATGGCGAGCCCGACAATCTAAAAATAGGACGACGCTTGTATTTTCTTTTTTTTGTCCCACAAGTGACATCACAGAGACGAGTCCGAGCATTGATTAAATTTTATTTGCACTGGGTTTATACTGCAAGACCTGCATGTCACAAATGTTGCATTATCAGATAACTGCTGGCAAACTTCTCGGTGGTAACAAAAGCCAAAGAAGATCTTAATTTTCCCGATCGAGCCTCGGTGTCACATACGCTTCCGCCTGCCGCCATAGCTGCCTATTCGCATGGAAGTGAAACGTACTCTCCCGACGGGGAAAAGCTGAGCGAATGTAATATCACGATCCCGACCGGCAAAAATGAAATTACTGACATTACCGGACTTTGTTTTCAAATATTCCAGTTCTGCGATACTGATACTATTTGGACAAAAGATGGGACTTAAGATAATTAGGTTTACTTGCCCAAGCTGAATCTCGTATTTTTCGCATTCCAGGATGCATATTTTTTCACAAAAAGTCGTATTCGCGTATTTTCGGCAAAAAATCGTACTAAAATATGTAAAATCGTACTGGTTGTCATCTCTGCATATGTTACAACAACATCGTCAGTGGTTAAAAATCAGTCAAAACATTGCTGCACATGCTCATTATATTGATTATTGCAGTTTTAATTCACTCAACCCTAGGCCTACACTTCCGGTTTCTCAGCTCTCCCGGGAGATTTTTACCACTTTATTAAAAATTGAAAAAAAAACCACAACTAAATTGTAACATATCCTACCCAAATTTGGTACACATTTTAGTCATACCTTTATTTGCGTGTAATGAAAATTTGAAAGCAAAACGTCATAGTTTTTATGCAATACTCCGTGGAAAAAGGTCTATATACAAAGTCAAAAAGTAATCAGAAAGTGAAGAAAAGAAGTGCATTCAAATTTCGCACCCCCTCACATGGTTCAAGAATACAGAGTTCTTTGTTCTATATTTAGGCTTGCACTTCTGGTCATAGTCTTGTTTCAAATGAAAAATGGATATTCTTCAACTTCCAATTAGGCTGTAGTCTGCTTTACACGGGTGTTTTCGGTCATAAGAGCGAAATTTTCCAAATTGATACTGTCGGCGTTAGCATACCTGCCAACATTACCTGGACCAAAATCTGTAGTTGACACAAATTTTTCTCAAAAAATCTGTAGTTGAACTAAAAAATCTGTAGTAGGCTATATTACCACTTGCTGCATACTTAATTGGGGACCCTTATCAATATTTTGACCCACATACATGAGTGTGTTTGCGACTTCAAACAAATGAAGAAATTGACAAAGAACAAAAAATAAAAATTAGCAATAACAATGAAAAATTAAATTGTTATCCAGCTTAAATGAAAGAAGAGTGAATTCTAAGAATTGTGGTTTTTACATTTTTTAAATCCATTCATAAATAAAAAAGTTATTGGGATTTTTTTTCTTCAAAATTTTGGGGGACTTTATAGGAAAATATTGCCAAGTGGGACGTTTCTTGAACTGTGGCCGATCACCCCTCTACACCTCAGCAAAGCAGTATCGGGAAAACCCGCAATGACGTCATTGGTAACCTGTTTAGTTCTAGCAGTTTTAAACATTGAATTACTGTAAAACCCTCTGGTTTTAGGCAGTCAATCACATGCCGCCTTGCGATCACGCGCCTCTTGCGTGCCGGCAACTCGCGTGTTGGGTCCCTGATCTAGTTTCCAGGTCTAGTGTTTTATCAATAGATGGGTGGTAATTTTAAATTGGTACGTAAAGTGGAGGCCTACTACAAACAAAGATCTGAAATTTTACAGCAATACAGAAGACATGGAGGGTACTTGTCAGTGGCTTATATCTCAAAATCGGTAGTTTGACCAAAAAGTCGGTAATATACTGATTTTTTCTGTAGGGTTGGCAGGTATGCCTTAGGGTTGGGCGGTGCGCGCGCACCAGTACCACAAAATTAATTGCTGGAACAGAACAGACAGCTTTTCCTCCATTTCAAAATGTTAATATCTAAAGACAAATTTTACATTGACACACGCACACGTCTTCCTGCTCAAAAGAGCTGACTATCACTCAAAAGTGCATTTTTTAATAAGACAAGCACGCTTACCTCAAATTGAACAACCATATTTCTGCGTAATGCAATCTCGTGGACGAGGCTGATCTCTGATTTGAGGCTATCTGTAATCAAAAGGATAACAAATTTAAAATTTCACTTTAGTCTCATTTATAAGAGCTCCTATAGAGCAACATTAACTGGCAGCAGACTACCCAAAACACCCCCACCCCCAAAAAAGGAAAAGAAAATGTAGAAGTTGAGCTACAGAGAAACAGGACAGAGTGCTGGTTGACCAAAGAAATGAAAACAGTGAGACAATCAAACAGTTAAGTGCTACAGATGTAGACACGGAAAGGCCAGGGTTTTTTTGTGTTTTATGCGGCATGTTCTGAGGCAGAGACCACCACACTATTCATAATCAAAAAGAAAGCAGCTATATTACACATCAAACAAGTGTCCATGGCAGTGATATACACAAAATCTATGTACGGTCTTACGGAGAGCAGCCTACCATCGACATCTTCTTCACATGCATCCTCTGCTGCTTCATCTGCTTGCTCCTCTGACTTCTTTTCTCCACTCTGTACCGGCAGGTTCTTCAGGATGCGCAGGGCCTTTTGGGCGGCATTATGACGGGCAGCCTGGCGCGTGGGGCCATCGCCAATGAACTCACGGTGGCCCACACGCAGGGAGACGTAGAATGCCCGGTTCATACGCGGGTAGTGGTACCTCAAAGGCCACAGCACCCCATTGCCACGATAACGAGGATCACGACTTGCACGCATGTACTGGTGGTATCTGAGGTGAAAAAAGAAAAGTCAGGGCTTCGAGGCAACACATCAAACAGTACAGATAAGGAGATACATCCAACTTCACCACCAATAACAATTCTTCAAACTTCAAACAAACATTCTGACACTTTGTTTGGTAATTGTTTTATAGCGCTCGCAACTGCATGTGGTTATATGAACGCACGCGACACACCTAACATTTAGTGGTAGGAAATTTTGTATTTTGTCCGGGCGGCAGCCAAAGCATACTCTTATCGATTTTGGACAACCAAGGGATCTTTAACGTGCGCAACTTGCACACGGTACCTCCAATATTTTTCGCCCTTGTCTGAGAAGGCTAGGTGTAGATCTTTCCTACCAGAAGATCAGGGGTGTGACCGAAAGACAGCAGTAAGAAGGAGCTAAGGAGAAGCAGTGGAAAGGCTGCAGAAAGAGTCAGGAGCCCAGAGGAGGGGGCAAAGGAGGTGAGGAGGTGGGGGCAGAAAGTGGAGATAAAAACAGACGACAGAATATTGCTAGAGAGCAGGAAAGGAGGTGAAAAGAGACAATTATAGAAAAGAAAATTTTCCGTCGCTACCCAGATTCAAATCCAGGACCTTTGAAAGAGAGGCCAACTCCTTAACCTCTAGGCTACAAGAGCCCCCGTTCTGACACTAATAGAAACCATTGATAAATAGAATGTGCCTTAGTTCCATCCCCACTGTAAATGCATGTTACAAAGTTTCAAGTTACTCTGTAAGCACTCATTTCAACTGCAGGGATGCCACTCAACATTTTTTTAAATAGCTGAAAATCCAAGCGCCACGGTCTCGCTAACATATGAATATTAATTTGAAACCCAAAGGGTGTACATAGAGAGAAATGACAAACAAACAAAAACAATGGATGTACATAGAAATTTATTTGAACTTATGGCAAAGTCTTCGTTTTTCCGTTATTTGAACATTTGGCGCAAGTTGTGTGTGTGTGGGTTTGGTTTTTTTTTCCAACTATAGATTCTTTCTCAATCTAAAGAACGGAATAGCGGATCAGGATCAAAATACCGGAAATACCTAAAAAAGCGGATGGCATCCCCGCAACTGTTAAAATAAAAATTTACTACAGGTGACAATGGGCAGTGCTTACCTCTGATTGTAAAGCCCCCTAAAGTCCATGTTTGGCTGGTGGTAATAAGGAGGTTGCTGAGGCTCAATGGACTTGTACAGCGCTGGTTCCCCTCGCTTCATAGCAAGAGCATTCAGCTCAACTGTCGGTGTGATATTGCCATCAGCTGTCAACAGATAACGCATTAACTAAGTGGGAAAACAGAACCCCAATATAATACACAGGGTGTCCAGCAATATTTCCTGGAAAAATTTACTACCTGGGAATTTTTTTTCTACCCAGCAAATCAAGCCCCACACCAGTTTATTTGTGCCATCAATAACATATATTATTATAACATAATATGTGGAACGAAAACAACATACAACAAAGTCCAATCGACAAAATGGAGGATAGAGAGACAATCGCAAGCTAGTTCGCCGCTAGATTTAGTTTTAGTAAGGTTTATAAAATTATACGGCCCTCAAAACTGAACGACAAGGGATGGATGTCAACAGAGAAGTCCAAACGGGGAACCTAGCTTCGGCTATCAAGACACCCCGACCCCAGAAATAATAGTTCACAAGAGTAACAAACATACAAAAGAAATAGAGGAAAAGACGATAGAAAAGAAGAGGACAGAAAAAGCAGGTTCTCCTATGTTGGTCCAGCACAGTAGCACAGTATGAGCAAGACATCACCTGTATTTTCTTTTCCCCCCCCCCCACACACACACACACACACACAAGTGACAGCACAGTGACGAGTCCGAGTAGTTATTCAATTTTATGTGCGCGGCGACACAGCGTTTATACTGCACAACCTGCGCGTCACATGTTGCATATCAGTCTATCGCTGGCAAATTTCTGGATGGTAACAAAAGCGAAAGTAGATCTTGATTTTCCCGATCGAGCCTCGGCGTCACATACACTTTCGCCTGCCGCCATATCCTGTGAAATGTACTTTCGGGGCGAGGAAAAGGTGAACGAATATTATATAACAATTGCGACCGGCAAAAACGGAGTCATGTACCGCGGCTAGGGTTCACTGAAAAGTCAGTGAAAAGTCTTGCTGGCTTCATCACTCAGTAGGCAGGCTAATTTAAGACCGTTTACCAAATGTTTACTACCTTCAGGGCAAATTTGCTATCATTTACGACCTTTACGACCAGGGTGTCGAATTTACGACTTTGCGGCCTTGCTGGGCACCCTGAATACAGTAAAAAAAAACTTGTAACAGCGAAGAATAATAGGCAGCCAACCAAATAGAGTCAATTTCTTCTTTACATGGTCAGGAATGTACAAGTATTACACACATTGGAACTCTTTTCCCCTCAGGACCACTCACAATATAGTTTGGAGAAAAGCTAGACATACATCACGCAGCCACCAAGCGATTCGACAGAAGAATGAATTTATGTTATGTGGCCACATGCAATTCTTTACTTCAGACAAGATTCTTCTCTTTTAAAAAAGTAAAGCCTAATACACAATATCAAGCGAAAACTTGCACAAGCATAGTCCAACACAAACGAGTAGGATTAAGACTACGCCCACCTGATTTCTCCAGATCACAGCAGCCAAGTCGGGCGGGTTTAGGAGGCGGGTGCGGGCACTTTGTTTCTACTAGGGCAATGGCTGCCGCAGCGTGCTGGGCCTTCTTGATGCTCTCCCCTGAAGCCGAATACTCCTCATCGCCCAGCTTCAGCTTCACGTAAAAGGTCTTTTTGTGAGCCGGGCCCTGCTCATCCACCAGAGTGTACTGGTGACTCATCTGGAACACACACACACACACAATGAGATTCACACCATGTAATTTCTTTTTGTTTCTTTCAGTGGTGGAGTGGTGAGTGAGTTCCAACTGACAAATAATCTCAAGCAATGTCATTAACAGCATTTAGTGTCGTGGTCACTGTGATATGTTTAAAATGATTAGAAACCAATAGGTGTACACATTGCACATGATATAGAGGTCATTTGATTGGAAAAGATAATAGACAAAAATCCTGAGGCCCAAATGCATATTCTCACCAAATATCGCAGAGAAGGGAAATCAAATTGTCTATTGATAACTTTGATGAAATCAGAAAATTTTGTTTTAAAAAAAAATAGTTTAACGTAAACAATCAATATTTAGATCCATTTTGTAATTCAGAGGCCTTCAGCTCACAAAAGGAAACTGCACGTGTGAGCAGCACAAAGTCCACAGTCATAGAAGGTAAGAGGAAAAGGTTCACATTACCACTTAGCCCCAACAGAGGACCTGTCCTGATACATGCTCAAATCCCTAAAGCTGTCATACACATGGCCTGATGGGGTTGTATGGTAAAAAATCAACAAAGATTAGAGAGTGTAACGAAAGTGCTCACCTTATTAAATCTAGCCAGTTCGTTGATAAGACACATAGGTGTTTTCTCTTTTGTGTTTGCCAAGCTCTGTTGCATCTCAGAGGCATTACTTGCACTTTCCTCGTTGTCGCTTACATGTACACTGTCCCTGCCAGACGTCTTTGGTGCCTGTAAAGAGTCCAGAACAACCACCAAGATGAATATTAAAAATATATTCAATCCTCCACAAAAAGTCACGGAAAATAAATTCTTTCGAGCCCATGACCAGCTTACAGAATGATGGAAGAAATTAATAAAAGGAAAAGATGGGAATGACCCCTGTTTTCAAAGACTCCTGGTTTGTGGCTAAAACAGCACCTGGACATGGATGGCTGGTGCCTCTATAAATAAATCACTGATGATGGACTCCTGGTTTGACTCTCGTTTCAGATACCTACTTTTTACAAAATTTACACTGAAGCACACAGCCTCTCCCAACCCCCTGAAATTATGGGAATGTCATCCTAGACAAAAAATACTTGCCTGAGGACTGTCCTTGGGGGAAGTGTCCTCTCCTGCCGACTCGCCGTTGGTCACAGGAGTGACCTGAGGTGCAGCCATATTGTGCTGATGATGGTTCAGCAAGGTAGACGGCTGAACACTGGTGCCATGAGGCGCACTGGACAGGGACTTCCCCGATGTAGGACTGTGTTGGAGGATCTGTTTTGGTTGAGGCTGTTGCTGCTGCTTCTGGTAGCGTTGTTGTTGTTGCTGCTGCTGGTTCAAACTGCGCTGCTGGAGGTGCTGGTGAAGTTGTAAATGTTGTTGCTGCTGGTGCATTGCTTGTTGTGGTAACTGTTGCTGTTGCTGTGTGTGGATTTGTTGCTGTTGCTGCTGCTGTTGGATTAAATGATGCTGTTGCTGAAATGACTGATACTGTTGTTGTGGTTGTTGCTGTGCAGCTTGCTGCTGTTGCTGTGTCATCTGCTGCGACTGGTAGTGGTGCTGTTGAACTGATGTCTGAAGTGCTTGCGCCGGCTGGGATGAGTATTGATGGTGCTGATGCTGAAGACTCAGCTGACCATTGTCCAGTCCCATGCTAGTGTGAATCGAACTTCCTGGAAATGAAATAACACACATGTAATTGTGATTTTTAAAACCATTGCACAAGTCTATATGTTCAATATCCCCATTTACCAGGCTAAAACAAATAGCAACACCCCCCCCCCAAAAAAAATAAAAAATTACAAGCACAAGCAGATCAAAATAACTTCAGCAAATATCAAAAAGTCAAATTGTAATGTAACCCTGCATCTCTTTTCATCAAAGGCTCTTCGCAGATCCCAGTGTACCATTACGTAACAACTGGACTACCGAAACAGTGGTTACTAAAAAATTTTTTTAAAATCAACAAACAAAAAAATCAATCAACAAAAACAAAAATTTCTGAAAATTAGTGCTGACCTGACATGCTTTGATAGTTTCCATTTTGAGTTGGCATACCACCACCAGTAGAGCTAGAAAACTGATGAGAGGTTATGTCTGGAGACATCTGCTTTTGTTTATGGTAGTTATTAACAAGTTGTTGTTGCTGCTGCTGCTGTTGTTGTTGTTGGAGGTGAGAAAACTGGGAGATGCTAGAAGTTTGTAACTGGTACGGTGACTTAGATGAGTTGATCGCATGAGATCCACCTGCAAACAGATCATCATATCTTGTTAAATAAGGCCTCTAACATGTAACTAATATTAAAAATGAAAAGAAAACAACGACATTACCATATGATAGATGGAAATTCACAAGCCACATAGAATGCAGCACACACAACTGGAGGTCTGTAAACTGACTGATGTTACATCTTTAAAAATATATTCATCTTCATTTTATCTTAATGTCCTTTGTCTTTTCCGTCCATACTTGACAAAACTATTTGCTCAAACACAGACTTAGATCTATCTACCTTATGCAAAAATAAAAATTTGGCAGAATTCTTCAATAAAGTACTGGATTGACATCAGACCAGGTCCTCTTTTGGGAGATACAAATTTTGAAACGAAGAACAAAAATAAATTTCAGATTACAATCGGCTTAATGCATATAAACAGAAATGTAAAGACTGGCCAACCTGTGACATGCCCATGAAACAACAATTGTTTTGAGAAATACCCAACATGAATATTGACCCAGTGCCAGGGCCCCGTAACCCATTGCGAGGTTATCGAGACTATTGTCACAATGCCGCGACTGTCCCTCAAAGGTCATCACACCTATAGTCATGATCGCGAACACATGCACTTGAGACCTGATTTTATGTACGGAACCACCGGAAATGGTTTAAACTAACTTAAACTCTTCAAAAAAGATTTTCCTAGCATTTCCAGCTCCAAAAAAGAATCTAGACCCAGAATTGAAATACAAAACGAACAGTCTAGGAATTTGTTTACAACAGTCAGTAAGGCAGTAATAGAATCTGACATGGCTGCTAATATGAAAGTTAGCAACCTGTTCAACGCATTTTATTGGGATAGTAGTGATTCAAGAGGAAACACTGCATTTCAATGCAAAATGTGTGAGGTAGTTAGTTTTAGTAGAGGCTTTATGGCGCTCGCAATTGCCTAAGGTCATATGAGCGCCAGAAGATTAGAGGTGTTACAAGAGAGTAACAAACACAAAAAAGAAGAAGGGGAGATAAGGACGATATGTTAGATAGGAAAGAAGAAGCAAACCACACCAGAGCATCCGCCAACTACCCACAAAGTGAGAGGCAGCCCTCTGTGTCCCTGGCTGCTTTGAACTGTATCACTCACATTTGAGAGAAATTTGACATCACAATGTCAGGACTAACAAACAGGCAAAGACACTCTGACGAGCAAGCAAATTAAATCTATGATGTATTGTTTTGAAAAATTTTATCACACGTTTTTTCCCCATTTAAATTCCAGTTCAATGATGCTTGATTATATTTTCTATTTTAAAAATAAGGAAGTTATGAGCATTTTTTTATGACCCACCCTAATTTTTATCAAGTTCTTCAATTAATTCGCCTCCGGAGGCCTGGACAGTGCAAAATATAATTCGCCTCTCAAAGAGTTAATAGAGACAAGTTCTACAAAATGGCACCGTACTGGTAGGTAAACAAGATACTGTAACTTCAAGGATGACATGCTTTGCCATGTAAGCAAGATGAAGAAAAATATATACACACGTGATATTCAACAACTGGCATGCAATAACAAATTGAGTTGCCTACTGGACCCCTTCCCAAATCCTACAAATTAAATACATCGCCTTGGATTACCTCGTTGTTGAGACATCATGCTCCTCTGTTGCACCTGTGCACCAGAGACAGATGCCACAGCCCCTGGGTTGATCATAGCGGCATGTTGCTGTTGGTTATTCATCATGTGGTTGTGAGACATGGGGTTGTACGTTGAATTATGCAGCAAAGATCCCAGATCTTTAAACAAATTAATTCTCTAAGAAACTATGCTTTTTAAGCCAGTTGACCAGTCAGTAAGCTTTTATTGTTCTTCTATCTTGGAGTCAAGCACCTGTGAAAAGAAGAGAAAAGTTATCAGAATTTGCCCCATACCCATATAAAATTACTATTATATTGGTATTTCATTACTCTTCATAATATTGGTCCAGAATTGGAGCAGAACGAGTTTGAGAAAGTTAAGTCATCTACGTTCCTATCCGGTCCAAAAAATGCACCCACAAGTGGGGAACAAATTTCACTGGCATTGCTACTCAACGACTGTACAAAGGAGTGATCATTGCATTTACACAATAATAAAGTAGACAATTTACATCATATGCATAATGACATTACTATAAAGCTGAAGCTCTAAATGATGAAGCTTTATACCGTTGAAGGAAAACACAGAAGTTGGAAGTTTGTAAAATAAGTGAAAAACGTGCTTTCCAGCCCAATGAGTTCAACTCCTACCTCCACTCTGTTTCAATTGACGCTGAGTCAAAATAACCAGAGTTACTGTGTCAACTGACGCATATCTTTTAATTATTTTTAGGGGGGGATTTTCTTTAAAATAAAGGGAATCCAACTCTGTTCGTTGAATCAGAGTTTCAGTGATGTTAATGACAAAAAGTAAAAAAGGAGGAAAATCACCAGTGCCACAGCCAAACTGAAACACACTCCCAATATAGTTTATAAATCAGGCCATTGCAAAATTTGCAAAACACTTTTCCATTTTCCACCAATATCAACCTTCACAGTAGATTCATTAAACGCCACACTAACATCGATTTCTTTCACCAGTTGCATGTCACTCTTTGATGTTCCCTTCATGGTGGTGAATCAAAATCAAACGTATAAAAGAATAAAAATGATCGTTCCAAAATCAGTACAATTCTAAAATCAGCCTTTTTTCTTACCGAAGTGACTATTCTACTGCGTCACCTTTCGCCAGATCTGAGATTCTGCTACTTCTAGTTAGCGTGACTCAACAGTCATCTATATTTGGGCCAATCAAAGAGGTGTTCTAGTAGGCTAGGTGCTTGCTGTAGCATTATTAGAATCTAATTGAAACAGTTGGAAAGACATGCTACTAATCGTAGAACGACGCACCTGCCTGATTGGCTGCTAATTTTAGTAATAAGACGTCATCACACCTTGGGACACCCAGAGACTATTTTTAGATGGACATGGAAATACTGGACCAATTTAAAGATTCTCTACCACGATCTTTGGAGATACCATGTGGAACAACATGTTGGGTAAGTGTCTTGGCGTATTATCCGTACCAATGAGCTTTGCACGTTAAAATTTCATACTTGCGGCTAACTGCATCCCGTCAGCCATATTCTGATTGGTTACCAGGTTTCCGGTAGGTTAATAACATGGCCGGCTCTATTTCTCTGAACGCTCAGGAAAATAAACTTGAACTCTTTTTCTCTGAACGGTTTCCGTTCTCGAGACGGCCCGTGTGTGCAAGGTGTGAACTGGGGGAGGGGGGGGGCCAGAGGAGGGATATTTCTTTTTTACATGACATGAAGAATTTTAGATTTTGCTGGGTGACTAAATGCAAAATAGGTTTACTGCCAAGGTCGAGCAGTCTTGTGTTCTCGCAGTACCTTTTGAAGGTATTTTCAGATGAAGTATAGTCCGGGAACGCTGCCCCAACCACAACTGAAGTATCTGAATATTCAGATATTTAAAAATCTCTAGCTCTAGAAATTGAATTTGATTTTTAAACGCCCTTTCAGAAAGGCAGAATGAAAGGATGATGCCTAAATCTCACAAATAATCAAAAAATCTCGGGATCGGAAACTATAACTTTATTTTCCCGAACGTTCGGAGAAATAGTCACTTCGAAATACCGGTTCTTGGCCATAATGGAAGATCGCTAAATAAAGATCGCTGATGCTCAGAACAGTAAGAACGCTGATGCTTGATTGAAAGTGAAACACAGCAAACCCAAAGACAATAAAGCGCGCGAAAATTGCTGTAGACATCGGAAAGATTACCCCCTCTTCCCCCCGGCCTGATAAACAATGCGCAGAAGAGATAAGCAGCAGCATCATATCACATTACCGGTATTCCTGCAAAAAACACACCAAAGCGCCGCACCGTCAAAGATCTTGCAGTACAGAGAATCTTTGGTGCCATGCGGTTGGTTATATCATTATTTAGATGTTAGATCTAGTCGTGTGATGGGAGGGGTATCCTGGTCTGACGTCAAACAAGATGGCCGCCTTACCTAAAAAATAGTTTGCGTAGTTCTACATTTAGTCGCATTTGGAAAGGCAGCAAACAAGGGCACGCTTAGGGAGAAGTGGTCCTGGCCTAACTCTATAGACATTTATATATACAAAATCAGAAGTCGAGTAAATATACTGAACAGAGTTGCCTGCCAAACCTATTTGAGACTAGACCTATTTTCGGCACTATTCTGAATTCTAACGGCTTTTTTTGTGTGCTGAGAACAATTTTGGCACTAAAAACTGCCACAAACCATTATTTTGTGAATTTAGCAGCACCCCCCTTTCTTAAAAAGGCAAATTCCGGTTTGTTTCGGATTGTGTACATAATGTATAAATGTCTATGGAGTTAGGCCGGTACCACTTCTAACGAAGAGTCCCCAAAGAAGCATCTCAAATCCTTCTTCTCTGTGTTTTTTTAGTAGGCCTAGAGCTAGAGGTTTTTCGGCGCTCGTAACTAACTGCAATAAGGTCATTGAGCACCAGAAGAGAGGTGTTGGCGGAAAACACAGCAGAGGGCAAAATGGCACTTTCTGTATTCTGAACAATTTTTCTCAGAAATGGGATAACTGTGTGTGTGTATCTTTAGCTGATATCGTAGAGAGAAGTTTCGAGAAGCTGGGACAGCAACATTTTTGTGAGTTTTTACATTTTGTGTAAGTTGTGGTTTTGTGAAGTTCCTGGACCCATGGAATGACAACAGACAATGTTTACTTGACAACAGAACACATGGAGAGAAGGGTAAGTCTAATTTATTTTTTTCATAATTTTTAATGGTAATTTTGCTAAGAATTTGTTCTAGAATGATAATAGTATGATTTCGCATCAAAAACATGAAATTAATCACGATTTTAAAAAAAATATTTTAAAAAATCCTAATTGCCTGCATTGTCGGCATGTGTCTGTAGTTTTTTCACGTAATTCTATATTTGTTAGTTTTAGCATATTTTTTGTTCTAGTTGCCATTAAACATGTTTTGACAATGTTTTAATCATAACTGCGATAATTTGTATCTTAAAAAGTAAGAAAAATAGATTTTTTAAAGATTTACGGCTGTTCATTCACGATCATCCGGGTTTCCGTCCCTCGTATTCTACCGGGTGAACAAATTGGAATTTGCGATCACGGCACAACGATCTCACAGTATTTGTCCAAAACGAAGTTTTTAACAGTTCTAGGCCAGTTTCATCATTTCTCTTCATTTTCTAACATTTATTGTTAAATTAAGTTTGAAAAACCGCATTTTTCATGTCTGTCGTGCACCGGTTGGACTTTGCGCAGGTCGAACAAACAACACCTGTGAATCGGCATGAACAACAAAATTTGAGGCTAAATCTTAGTCTTAAACGCGATTTTCAACCCAAATATCACGAAATGTAAGTCATTATCCATGCTAGTTTAATTTTCAGCGTAAATAAATCTTTAAATTGCTTCATGATGCGAGATAATCGCCTAAATCTAATTTTTTTCGTAAGCACGACACGAAATCGCCGCGAAGGCAAGAAAATGGCGGCCGCGTAATCCGAAAGGGGGAAGAAGGGGGGGACGGCATTTCAAAGATCGTTGTGTCGCGACGTTCAGAATAGAATAGATAGGCCTAGATCTACTTGGATTAGCTTCTAATGAATTTTAGTTAGTTTTTATATATTTTAAATTTAATTTAATGAGCAAGAAGAGAAGACAGTCAATGCTGACCCCACCCCCCCTTAATTTACCATAATTTGATGCTGGGAGTGTATACAACAGACCCGGTAACCAGGAACAAAGTCACGAAGTATACAGACCCGGAACGAGAAATCTTTTATGATTCAGAGTGTCTACGCACACGGTAACCGGGCAGTTCAGTTTTTGTCATCCGGTGTTGCCTTCATCCCCAGCCTCCCCTGACTGTACTTTTTTTAAAAACCAATAATCCCCAAATTCCTGAGCCCTATACTTCGCAGCACACAGACTTTGAATGAACTTTGTTGACCCCAACCGGTACTCACAATGTGATGCGCACACACAGGTTCACTGACCGGTCACGATGGCGAGCCCGACAAGACGCTTGTATGACTTTGTGGTTATCCGTACAATTGTGAGAACAACTCTGTCTAGTTATCCGTACAACATTGTATCATACAATTGTGCGAACAACTGTCTAGTTATCCGTACAACATTGTATCATACAAAATTGTGCAAACAACTCTGTCGAGTTATCCGTACAACATTGTACGCACAATATTGCTACACACGAATAATTGCTACAGTTATCCGTGCAATAGTAGGCCTACATGCCCACACAGGAGAGAGATACAGAGAAACGAGTGCATGCTTTAACCCTAAAAAACTGAAACAAGTATGATATTATACTAGATCTAGTGTACAGTTGTTTTAACATTAAAATTAAAGCCTTTGCCAAAAGGTGGGACACCCGGGTGAGACAAACGAGATCCAAAAAATCAACGAACACTCTACCCTGTGCGAATAAAATTATTTCTTATTCGCACACCCAGTGTGAATAATATTAATTCTTATACATACACCCGGTGTGAATAATCACTTCCTTTCGGTAACATTTCGGATTTCCTAATTCTAGATTTTGGGGGTTTTTTGTTGTTTTTGTAAGGTGTTTTACGGCGCTCGCAACTGCACAAGGTCATATGAGCGCTCGGGACACACTTAATGTTTTCAGTTGGTAGAAAATTTTGAATTTTGCCCGGGTGGCGGCCGAAGCCCACTCATATCGATTTTAGACCACCAAGGAATCTTTAACGTGCGCAACTTGCACACAGGCCCTCCGAGATTTTTCGCCCTAGTCCGAGAAGGCTAGGTGTAGATCTTTCCTACC